TCCACCTTGGGGGAGTATAGGTACCACCTGGGGAGAATAGCGTTACCCTGGGGAGAGACTAGGTCCCACCCTGGGGGGAGACTAAGGTCCCACCCTGGGGGGGACTAGGTACCACCCTGGGGAGACTAGGTACCACCTGGGGAGACTAGGTACCACCTTGGGGGGACTAGGTACCACCCTGGGGGGGGGACTAGGTACCACCCTGGGGGGGGGCTAGGTACACCTGGGGAGACTAGGTACCACCTGGGGGAGGATAGGTACCACCCTGGGGGAGAACTAGGTACCACCTGGGGAGACTAGGTCCCACCCTGGGGAGCAGAACACCGAGGAAGACTAGGTACCACCTGGGGAGACAGGTCCACCTGGGGGAGACAAAAGGTACCACCCTGGGGGAAAATAGGTACCACCCTGGGGGAGCTAGGAACCACCCGGGGGGAGCTAGGTCCCAAACCCCTGGGGGAGCTAGGTACCACCCTGGGGAAACTAGGACCCCCCCGGGGGGAGACTAGGTACCACCCGGGGGGAGCCCAAGACCCCCCCGGGGGAAAAAGAACCTGGGGTACCCCACCCGGGGGAGACGGGGACCACCTGGGGGCCCCTGGCCCACCCGGGGGGAGCCCATACCCCCCTGGGGGGGGAAAACTGGGTACCACCCGGGGGAAACCCCGGGAAACCCCCCCGGGAGCCTGCCCAACCCTTTGGGGGCCCCAAACCCCCCAAAAAAGGTCCCCCCCGGGGGAAAAAAAACCCTTCCCGGGGGAAAAAAAAGGGCCCAATTGGGGAATTTTGGTTAAGGGGGAAAGAAAAAGGAAAGGGGGGATAGGTAACCACCCAGCATCCCACCCTGGGGGTGGTCCCCCCGGGAAGCATCCCCCCAGGGGGCGGGGGGGGGAAAATGGGGGGGCTTACCACCCCGGGGGAGAAAAGGTAACCCCCCCCTGGGGGAGATAGGCCCCCCTTTAATAATTCCACCCCTGGGGACTACACCACCACCCTAAACAAAACCCCCCGGGGACAACCACCCTAACCCCTATTCCCCCAACATACCCCCCCTTGGGGACAAAAACCAGGCACGAACCCGGGGAAAGGCACCCCCCAACCCCAACTCCCCGGGGCCCCGGCCCCTTTTTTTGGGGTTAAAATCACCCCCACGGGAGACAAGCAAAATAAAAAATAAATAAATATTTGAAAAAAAAAATTTTAAAAAAAATATAAATATAAAAATATACATATATATACAAATTTTTTATATAAAAGTTTAAATTAAAAATTAAATAAATAAATAAATAAAATAAACAAAAAAATTAAAAAAATATGCAAAAAAATACGGGAAGAAATTTGAATCACCTTTTGGGCAGAAAAACACAACTGAAGGAAAAAAACCCAAAAATTTTTCACCTCACACACAAGAAAGGAACATAAAAACAAAATTCAAACAAAAAGGCTAAAAAGGGTTTTAAAAAATGCCCCCTAATTTTTTCCCTCACAACCCACTTTTGTAAAACCAATTTTGATTTTTAAGCTTTTGAAAAAAAATTTTTTATTTTTAATTTTAATTAAATTTTAAATTTTTTTAATTTATAAATAATATATATATAAAAAAAAAATACATATTATTTAAAATTTTTTTTATAAAAAGATTAATTATATATTGAAATTTTAATTTTAATAAATTTTAAATTTTTGAAAAAATCAATTGGGTGTTAAAATTTTTCCAGAAAAAATAGGTTTGGAAAATTTAAAAATTTTTTTCTTATTTCCAAAATTTATGGTTTTTAAAAAAAAAACAAAAAGGGAAAGGATTTTTCCCCCAAGTTTACCCAATAAACTTTTTCCAAAATTTTAAAAGGGAAAATTTTTACCCCCAAACGTATCTTTTTAAATTTTTTTCCCCAAAAATTTTTTTTTAACCTTTTTCCAAAAATTTTAAAAATTTTAAAAAACTTTGTTTTATAAAAAAAATTTTCAATAACCTGTAAACAAAATTTTTAAAAATTTTAAAACTTTTAAACAAGGATTTTAAAATCCTTAACATAATTTTAAAAAAAACTTTTAAAAGCCCATTCAAATCAAAGTTTTAATTTTTTAAATTAATTTCCCGGTTCCAAAAAATTTCCAAAATTTTCCCAAAAAAATTTATAAAATTTCCTGAATTTGGGGGGGGTTTTTTAAAAATTTTTTTACTTAAAATTTTTTTAAAAACAAATATTTAAAATATTTTTTAATTTGGAAAGAAAAAAATTTATTTTTTAAAACACCCCAAAATTTTTTAAAAATTTAATAAAAAAAAAGCCCCTAAAAAAATAATTTTAAAAAACGCCACCCCATCTTTCCTTTTTGAAAGGGTTTTTATCTTAATCCAAAAAAAGTTAAAACCTTTTTCTTT